ATAAAATATTTTAAAATTTATTTCTATAATTTTAAATTAATGTATACTGTCAAAGAAAAATTTTTTAATCGTGAAAAATGTGTGGTTTTGTGAATGATTTTTTAAGTGGTCTTACTTTTTTGCTCAACACTGTAGGTTTAAAAAGATGTGAAAATTTTGTAAAAAATTTTCATGTTATATATTTATTTAAAATTACTTTATAATAATATTCAATTCTTCATTTTTAATACATAATTTTTTAGACTACGTAAAAAAATAAATATTTTTTAATCTTTATTTAATAAACTTTTAATTTATTTTTTAATAAAATATTACCTTGGCTTCAATTGGGCTCGGACTTCTTATCAAGAAATACTGGTATTCCTCTTCATAGGGCCCAAACACGGTTAGGGGTTCCAATCGAAGGAATACCTATTTGATCGTTTTTCAAATAAAGAATTTATTTTAATTTGTTTCCTATCCTGATTGCTTAGTGGTTTATGATAAAATTTATTTTTACAAAGCAATATTTAATTTTTTCTTAAAATAAATAATTTTACCAATACTGTTATATGATATACAAATCAAACTATTATTGATCTTGCATGTGTATTATATTTTCAGATACATTCCGATTTTCTTAAAATTATCTGAAATATTTATTTCATTATTATTAAAAAGATTAAACTTAAAATCATCTAGAAAATCATTGTTTTTATAGTTTCATTGTATATCTAAGTTTTTTGGTAAATATAATTCGTTTTTTACATTTACTAATTTATAAAGTGGTTTTTGATAGGTTTCGCATTTACAAAATCTACTGTCAGACAATATTTTTAACATAATTTCTCTTGGAACATATATTTTAAACGTTTCGGTGAATTTTTGAACAAGGATTTTGATTGTTTTATCATAAATTAAGAATATGTCTTTTTTCTAATCCATCATTTAATCTTCTTTCTTTCAAAATCATATTTGTAGTCCAAAGACATTTTATGCTTTAATATAATGTTAACTTTATTAACAAAACTTTTGCTTAGTTTTCTTTTTATTAAAATCTGTCTTTGTGTTTGTGGTAACCACATTTAAACCAACTCATATTCTTTAAACTGTCGAAATTTTAATTAATTTTTTTAAAAAAGTTTAATTTTAAAAACCCCATCAATTAATGATAAATCAGTTAAAGAATAATACAATCAACCAAGATAATAAATTTAGTAATAAAACGAAGTCCAAGAGTTTATTTATATGGTATCTTACAGGTAATGGAGTTTCTTCAAAGTACCTTAGTATTATTTTAGTTTTTTATCCTTTTGAATTTAAATTCTAATATTATCGTAAATTTGTTTAGCCATAAGGTCTTGTAAAAATTTTATAAAATAAAATATCAAAAATTTTTAAATATTTGTGGCATAGCCTACGTTGTTGTAAATAAACTTATAAAGGTTATAATTATCTCTATAGAATCAACCATTATCTTCTTAGACATCTATCTTACGTTTCGGTTTTATGTTTCTATTTCATGTTCAATAACGTTTTTAAATGTTAAAATTTTCTTAACATGTTTATGTTAAATTAGCCAGTAAAATAAAAATATATAATTTCATTATTTAAAATAACTCAAAGTTGATTGTGACAATCTATTTTCACATGAATTTTATAAAAATATCATTTTTCTAAAATTTTTTAAAGTATATTTTTCAAAAAAATTATATTAATCTTTTTTATTTCAGTTTATGAAAATTTTATAAAGTTTTAACAGTTTACATTTTATTTTAATAACTTGTCTACATTTTTCTAATCAATACCATATAAATCATTTATAAAACAAAAACGAATAAATTGTAATTAATCTTTGAAAATTTAACCTGTTGCATATTCAATATGGTTTAATATGTTTAAATCTTCATTATTTCTTGTAAAAAATAAACAAAATAACACAACATTTTGGTTATATAATTTATGAAATTATATTTTAATACTTTCTTTTTTAAACTATAAAAATTATAAAAGAAACTTAAAAGAACAAAAAATGTTATTTCAAACACAGTTTAATTATAATAACATACATATCTATTGAATAATTGAAAAACATTATTTATAGATTTAATAAAATATTTGATCAAAAAGTATCATATTATAAGATATTTTGTTATTTAACTTTAAAAAATATTTAAGAAAAATTATATTTTATTCAATCTTTTTTTATTTTGTATTTTTATAATAAAAATTTAATAAAAATTAATTGTTATATTTTTAAAATTATTTAATATAACCATAAATAGGTTGTTTTTTAACTTTTTTGTTTAAAAGGTGTTAATTTAAGTTTTTCATTTTCATCTTCATCAATTATCAAATTAAAATGATTATCTTTCAACCGTAAAAAAATAAATGGTGCCTCTTCATACTTCACATCCTTCATATAATAGTTATTATCTGTATTTGGATATCTGTAAAGTTGAAGGTAATCTTTTGATACATTTAATACGATAATATTTATTTTAAATAAATATGAAAAAAAATTTAAATTGCTACAATCCAATCTTACATCAACATCATTAGTATCGAATATCGGATAATAAAATTCATCATAATTTATATATTCATCTAGACTGTCTTTTAATTCAGTTATATTTTCACTATGATAAACATTAACACTTAAGACAATCAATAATCGTATATGTTGAATAAATATCTCTCTATTCTTTTTAATAACTTGAAAATAACTTTTACAATTTTTACTATTTTCCCATGTATTTTCAACTAACTTTATCCATTCCTTAGCATAATTATTCTTACTACAACTGAAATATTTTAAAAATTTTTCTTTCTGGATTATTTCTTTAAAAAAATTCAAATCTTTTTTTGAATGCCAAAAAAGACTATATAATATTGAATGATAACCACAATTATTATTATCACCGGGTACATTTATTCTTGTTAATCTCTCCCCTTTTTCAAGAATGTTTGAAAAAATATTTTCTGCCGAGTCTTCTATTTCTAACTCTCTAAGTTCTTCTAAGACATTAAAATTTTTATTGATTCTTTCATCCTCATCAATTAAATTATTTTCATCGCTAAAATTATCTTTTGATTCTAAACAATTTTTAATATGTTCTTGATATTTATCATGATGTAAAAGCGTTTCGAAAATATTTGCATTCTTATCTGTATTTAATATTTCATATGCTTTTGACTTTAATGAATTTTTAAATAATTTATGATTAGTTTTATCAATTGTTTTTTGATTTGATGATTCTATGTTTTTTTTCTGTTCTAAAGCAATAGAATTCTTTTTAATTAAACTTATAGGTT